GTAGGGGGACAGGCGAGGGGGAGGGGGAGGGGGAGGGAGTTGAGACGGAGGGGTGCGGGAGGAAGGTGGCGGGATCCGGAGCGCGGTAAGGGTGGCGCAGAGAGGCGCGCGGGGTTTGGGTGGGTGTTAGGAGGGCGAGGCTTTGGGGGGAAAGAGAAAAAGAAGGGAGAGGGAAAGGGAGCAGAAGGAGAGAGGATGAGCAGAGAGAGAGAGTCAGTGAAAGAGGACGCGATAGAAGGAGGGTGGTGAGAGAGAAAGCGAGGGGAAGGCGCTGGACGAAAGGGAAGAGGGCGGAAGAGGTGAGGGAGGAGAGGAGAGGGCGAAGGAGTGGGTTAAGGAGAGAGGGTCAGAGAGAGAGGGAGGGAGAAAGGAAGGAGAGGAGGAGGGAGATAGGTGTGGTGGACACGGAAGGGCGGTTGGGGTGAGTGAGGCGGGGTTGATGAATGGTGGAGGTTGCTGGAGCGTAGGGTATGGCGGTGTAGGAGGAGGCAGGAGAGGGTCGGAGAGAGGGCGGGGATTTAGGCGTAGGCAGGAGAGAGTGCTGGTGGATTTCCGCAGGATCAGGGTGGAGGATCCGGGGGGGCAGGCGCTGGTGGAAGAAGGACCGCGCGCAGGAGGAGAGGCGGGCTGTGATGATCGGTTGATGCGTGTTGAAGGGGGTTGGCTGGAGGAAGCGGCACGGGACGGGGGCGTCGGGGCGGCTGGTGGCCTGGAGGTGCGGTGGTGAATGCTCGTGCGTGCGGGTAGCCGATTTGGAAGGAAAAGGGTGGCGTGCGTAGCTGGGGTCGGTGGAAGTGAAGCAGCATGAGACAGAGGGGATCAGGTGAGTGTGAGGGAGAGGAGCGGGTGGCGGAGGGCGTGGGCAGGGCGAGAACGGAGCGGAGCGCGACGGAAGCGGAGGCAGAGCCGATGAGGGGGAGCAGCTGGGAGAGGCGTGGCGCGGGGTGATCAGGGGCGCTGGAGAGGGAGGACCGCTGGGGGCCGGCGCCCGCGCGGGCGCGCGCGCCCGGCACGGCGGGTTCGCGGTCTGGCGCGGGAGGAGGCAAGCCCGCGAGTGGAGGGGAGCGGGAGGACCCGGGGCGACTGAGGGAGGTGCGGTGAGGCTGGGCAGGAGGTTTGGGGTGCGAGGAGCCTGGTCGGGCGGAGTGTGGGGTGTGGAGGGGAGAGATGGGGGGCCGGGGAGGGAGCGCTGGAGGGGGAGACGTGCCGAGGGGACAGGTCGGTGGGGATGGAAGGAACCAGAGATGGGTGGAGCGGCGCGGCGATATGGGCGCGCGTGCGGGCGCGGGGGGGGGTACAGCGCGTGGTGGATGAGTGGCTGGTAGCGAGAGGAAAGTGGCCGAAGTGCCGGCGAAGGGAGTTGCAGGCGGTTGACCAGTGACAGACGACCAGGGGATGACGCAGAAGCCGGGGATGAGGGCTGGCTGGTTAGGAGTCGCGGGGATCGTCGAGGGAGGTGCCGTGTTTGGCTTGGGCGGGAAGAGGGAGGGGAGAAAGAGAGTCGGTGCGTGTCGTTGGAGGGTTCGGTAGGCGAGCGAAGACGGGGGGGATAGCATAGCGTAAGTGTTGGGTCAGTACGGTGTAGAAGATGTGAAGGCGTGGTGAGTGGTGGTGTTTGTGTGTGGTGGTGGTTTGGGTGGGTTTGGTGGTGGGTGTTGTGGTGTGTTGGTGGTGTGGGGGTGTGGGGTGGGTGGTGGTGTGGGGTGTGTGGTGTAGGTGGTGTGGTGGTGGTGGTGTGGTGGTGGTGTGTGGTGTAGTGGTGGTGGTGTAGTGCGTGAAAACGCTGGAGTGCTTGAGTGGAGGGAGTGATAAAGGTAGTGTAGGTGGTAGTGGGGGGGTAAGTATATGTATTGTAGGTAGTTAGGTGATGGGTAGTGGTGATGGGTACTAGGGATGAGGCAGAGATGGTGTGCGAGGGTGTAGCATGATATGAGTAGCGCAGAGGAGGGCAGGGATACGGCAGTGGGCGATAGAGTACGAGGGAGAGGGTGATAGTATGATAGGGTGAGGGGTGTAGGTGAGGGTAGTATGGTAGTGAGGGTAGTGAGGGTAGGGGTAGTAGGTATGATGGGGATGGTAGCGAGTGGGGAAGCACACACGGGCAGTGGATGACAGAAGGGTGTAGTGGTTTGCGAGTGATTGGGTAGGGGTGGAGTGATAGTGATAGCAGGACGAGCAAGCGGACACAGCAGCAAGCGCGAAGGAGAGAACGACGGCAGGACGAACGACACGAGCAGGAGGCAACAGGCAGGGGTTATGTATATGTAGTGGTGTGAGTAGGTGATGTGAGTGTGATGGTAGGAGGTAGGATACGGGAAGGACAGAAGGAGAAGGTCGTTTGTTGCGGAAGTAAAGCAAGCAGAAGACAGTTTCGCGCGCTGCGGGCGCGCGGCGGGCGCGCGGCGCAGAAGAACAGAGACGGCATGCGGCGGCGCGAGGGCGGAATACCAGGGAGGAGAGAGAGAGCAGCACGGGAGACGACGCTGCAGCACGCGCAGCTGGGCGCAAGAGTACAGACTGGAGAGTGAGGCTCGTCTCGTATTTGGCTCTTGTGAAATGCGCGTGGGGTGAGTGTTGGTGGCGAAATGGGATTGTGTTGGGTGTGTGTCAAGGGGGTGCGGGGTTTGCCGCGGCGCGGTCGAAGTTAGCGGGAGTTGGGGGGGTGTGGGGAGGGGGGTGAGGGGGAGGGGGGGTGTGAGTTGGTGCGGGGAATGATGAAGTGTGGGGATGGGGAGGTGGGGAGTACGGGTGGTGTGTTGATGTAGGGTGTTGGTGTATGGTAGGGGAGTATGGTAGGGTGGTTGTTAACGCAGCGAGGAGGCGCGAAGCAGAGACACAGGACAGCACAAAGCGACGACGAGCGCGACGCAGCGGGACGACACGACGCGACGGAGACGGAGCGGGGGACAGCGACACACACGACAGTCCGGGAACAGGCGACACAGAGGGACGGCGATGACACAGGGCGCGAATGAAGGTTGAGAGTGCGTCTCGGAAGGAGGGGACGCGAGCGAGGCGTGCTGCTCGGTCTGTGGCGCGTGGTGTCAGACTGTGCGTCGTGGCTGCGTGTCCTTCGCATAGGTTTGGAGCACCGGCAAGTAAAGGAAGAGTGGAAGAGAGGAGAGGGAAAAAGGGTGAAAGGAGTGAGGGAGGACGGGAAAGGGGTTAGGGAGCAGGAGGAGAGGAAAAGAGGAGAAATGAAAGAGAGCTGAGGAAAGAAGAGAGAGAAGGGGGATCTAAGGAAAGAAGAAGAGAGAGGAAAGGGTCAGAGCTAGGCGGTGCGAGAGATTTGAGGTGGCTCGGGCGGCGGATGAGATGAGTTAAGAGAACGCCGGAAGGGTAGTGGTGGCGTGTTGGTGTCATTAGAAGGGACGGCGCGCGTTAGGTGTGGGGTCGGGCGGGCGTGGTTATTTGAGTGGGTAAGTGAAGAGAGTCGGGATTGGGAGCGTGAAGTTGTTGCGTTCTCGAAGTGGTGTTGGTTGCGTTTTCGGTTTTTATGTTGGTGCTGCGTTAGTGGGTATCGGCGTTGTGTCCGTATGTGTGTGACTGGCCGCGTGGGGCGCGCGGAAGGGGGATGTGGGAGTGGGTAGGCGGGATAGGCGCAGGGTAGGTAGTTGTGGTGATGAGGGTTGTGTGGGTGAGTGAGGTTATCGAGGTGTTGTTGAGGGTGGTGATGGGATGATGGAGCGGGGGTAGTTAGGGTTAGTAGTGTGGAGTGTATAGGTGTATTGAGTGGTAGTAGGGGTATATGGTAGTGAGGTGTGTGTGTGTGGGTGGTGTGTGGGGTGTGTGGTGGTGGGTGTGTGTGGTGGTGGGGTGTGGGTGTGTGTGTGGGTGGGCGGGTGGTGTGTGGGTGGGGTGGGTGGTGTGGGAGGGTTAGTGATAGGTAGTAGGTGGAGTATAGGTAGGTATATAAATGGGGGGGGTAGGTATGATAGTGATATTAGTAGAGGATAGTGTAGTAGTACGAGCGAGGCGGAAGCGACGAGGGCACGACGAAGATGAGCGAAGGCACGAGGACAAGGCGGACAGGACACGGAGGACACGGACAGACGAGCGAGCGAGCACAGAGGCGAGGAGCACCACAGGCGGGAGCGATGGAGGTAGGTGGTGGGGTTTGAGGGTGGTTAAGTTGATGATATGAGGTGGGGTGGTAGGGTAGTAGGTGAGGGGGTAGTATGTAGTATAGGGTGATAGTAGTAGGGTATAGTAGTGGGTAGGTACGGTAGGGTATGGTAGTATTATAGGTAGGTGATGATATAGTGGTGGAGTGAGGGGTGATGATAGTAGGGTGTGAGGTTATGGGTATGTGGGTACACCCGGGAGCGCACGGAGCGACAGGCAGCAGGCGCGAACACACGAGGGACAGGGCAGGTAGTAGTATGAGGGGTGGGGAGGGGTGGGGAGGTAGTGGGTGAGTGTGAGGGTGAGGTAGGTTGTGATGTGGTTTGGATGGGTGAGGGGGTGTAGGTGGTGGGTGATGGATGGGGTGTGGTGTGGGGGGTGGAGGTGGGTGTGGGTGGTGTGGGGTATGAGTGTGAGTAGGTATGTGTGCAGGAAGGGAGTACGATGGGCGTTGCGTGAGTGTAGGTGGGTATGCGAGGTAGGGGTAGTGTGGTGGAGTGTAGTGTTGGGTTAGTGAGGTGGGGAGTGAGTGAGGGGGTATAGGTATGGGAGTGGTGTTAGGTAGGGGTGAGGGATTATGATCGGTGGGCTTCGTCGGGTCTGCTCTCGGTGCGTGGTCTCTCTGCGTCTCGGTCTGGTGGCGGTGCTGGCTCGTCGGTGGTCGGTCGCGGGTGGTGGCGGTAGGTAGGGTGTGGTAGTATGAGGGGTGAGGTGAGGGGTGATATGAGGGTGGAGTGTAGGGGGGGGGGGTGGAGGGTGAGGGCGTGGGGTTGTGGGGGGCGGGGGAGGGGGAGATAGGTGGGTGGGGATGAGGGTAGTGGTAGGTAGGTAGTGTGAGTGGTTAGAGGAAGCAGGTGATATGACAGGATGGTGAGTTATGGTATGCTGAGGTGGTAGGTGCGTGCTGGTGGATGCTGCTGGCGTCGGGGTGTGTCGGGAGGCGCGGTGCCTCGACTCGTCGCAGGCGAGGGCAGTGGGACTGGGGTGCTGTGTGTTGAGGAGCTGGTGTGTGGTTGTGTGTAATGGGAACGAGGGGATGGATGGATGCGCGCAGTGCGCGCCAGGGATGCCGGAGGGTACGGGATGGTGGGCGTGAGGTGGTGTGGTCGTGAGGGTGGCGCGGGGCGCCGTGGTGATAGGAGTGGCAAGGAGGCCGGGTAATGCGAGGAGGGGTGGTAGATCGGCGGGGGCTGCATAGGTGGTCGTTGTTGGAGCGGACGCGGAGGTTCTTTGGGAGGGGTGGCGCTGGCGCTGGTGGCACGGTAAGGGTGTGAGGGAGATGATAAGTGGAGAGGGGCTGTGCGAGTGCTAGGCAGACAAGAGGGTAGGACGCGGAAAGGCTGGGTAGGGCTAAGAGCGAGGGTCGGCTGGTGCCAGTTGGTAACGCGGGTGGGCGGGTGGTGGACTTGGGTGGCCCAGGGGTTCGGGGAGAGGGGGGGGTGCGAGGGAGGCGGCGAGGGAGTGTGTCGCGGGTTGGACGGGTGGTGTGCGGTGCAGGCCAAGGTGGGTGGGTGAGCTAGAAGCAGGCAGAGTAAGTTCAGGGCGCAGGCGAGGCGAGCGGAGGCATACGGGAAGCGCGCGGGGGGGGGTGCGTGAGTCGATCGGTAGATCAAGTGTGGTAGGCAGGCACAACAAGGACAGGCACGGACGTTAGGAAGGTGGTGGGTGTGTGTGGGTGGTGGGGTTGGTGTGGTGGGGTATGACGCGGTGGTGGGTGACGAGGAGGCAGCGACGTAGGCTGTGGGGAGGGTAGGGGTAACACGACAGCAGAAGGGACGGACACAGGCAGCAGCACGAGACAGCAGCAAGCCGAAGGTAGTGTGAGGTGAGGTGTAGAGGTTAGGTGGTAGGTAGTAGCTATGGGGTGAGGCGTGCAGGAGGGTAGTATAGTAGAGGGGGGGCGGCGGATAGGGGGGTGGTAGGTGGGAGGGTAGTAGGGGTGTAGTAGGGGGTATGAGTGTAGGTGGAAGGTAGTATAGTGAGTGGGTGAGGTAGTGGGATGAGATGGTAGTAAAGGGGGGTTGAGTAGGTGAGTGCGAGGTGAGGTGAGGCTTTGGGAATATGAAATAGGTAGGGGGTAGTTGGGTGAGGTGAGGGTGATAGGATGGTATGGCGGTAGGTGAGTGGGGGGGGGGCGTGGAGGGGTATAGTGGTGGGATGATGTGATAGAGGGGGGGGAGTAGGGATGGGGTAGGGTGGGGGGTGGAGTGGTATAGTGAGGGTAGAGTAGTGAGTAGAGGGGGAGAGGCGGGTAGGGGCGTAGGGTAGTGGGGGTGATAGTAGGGTGAGTAGGGTAGATGAGTGATGAGCGATAGATGGAGACGAGGTGGAGGGTAGGGGGGGGAGGGCGGGGCGGTGAGTAGGGTATAGTAGGGATGGATTGGATGGATAGTAGGGTATGAGGGTAGGTGTAGTGGGGTAGGTAGGGCGGGGTATAAAGGGAGGGGGGGGGTTGTAGTAGTAGGTAGTGGAGGTAGGTAGTGTTGATGGTAGTGGGGGGGTAGTGGGGTGAGTGAAGAGGCGGTTGGTGGATGGGTGGTGACGGGGGGGGGGAGGGGGCGCTGGCTGATTGGCGGGTAGTCAGCCAAGGTGTAGTGTATTGGGCTGTGGGCG